TTATATTATATTATATTATATTATATTATATTATATTATATTATATTATATTATATTTATTATATTATATTATATTATATTATGAACAAGAGCTGAAGCATTAAGACACATGCTGCTCTTCCAGAGGACCTGTGTTCTGTTTCCAGCACTTATGCAGTACTGACAATAGTACAGAGCAGTTAAGAGCAATATATAATACAATATATTTTAATATATTTCTGTTTAAATGTTAGCATAAAAATTGACCATAAGCATAATCTAAATCGTCTGTATGGGTACTTTATAATAAATATGAACTGCTTTCTCACCCCCCCCCCATTTTTAATTGTTGCAAGACAGTACACAATTTGCTCTTTCAGAGATTCATTTTCTTTTTTTGTTTAGGTTACACTTTTATTGGTAGTTACTGTGAACAAGAAAAAGAGGGGGAGGCCTTGGCCTATTTAATTAAGGCCCTGTTGCATTTAAAAACACTATTCAAGATTTCCCAGCCATTTGAAGGTTTGAGACAATGCAGGAGTGGCATTCACATCAGAGTTAATGCTGGGAAAACAAACGAACAGCTAAGAAAGTAGTGTGAGCATTTGCTAGGGTTGAGATGGTGTCTTCTCCTTATCTTCAGAACCCAACTCTTGGCTGCAGATTTCCTCCTGAGTTATTCTACTAATGGAGATTCATTTTTCTTTGTCTGTCAATAAACAATGTTACATGACCTTGCCAGCCAAGGCTGAATAACCTGTGTGTGACAGAGTTGCGATTTGAACCTATAGTAAAGACTAAAGGTAGTACTCTCAGGTTAGAAGAACAGACCCCGCCCCCATCTTTCTGATTTATAATCTCATCATCTGTATAATTGGTATAGTGTACACTTAAGGGTTGCCAAGTGAATTTGGAAACTTCTCGGTTATTTGTCTTAGCAACATATAATAAATGGTAGTTGTTTACAGTCATCACAAATCATTAACATGATTAAAAATTATTGCAAGGTCTTGTTTCTTTTTGTATTTTGTTTTGTGTTTTTAATATGTGTGTATGTGTGTGTTCATGCTATGGAGGCCACAAGAGGGTGTCAGATTTCCTCAGAGCTGGATTTACAGATGGTTGTAAAACAGAACACAGGTCCTCTGGAGGAGGAGCAAGTGCTCTTAACTCTCCAGCTCTTGTTTTTTTATTTATATATTATGTAATGTTTTAATGGTTACTACATTCTGATTTGATTTTTTGTTTTGTTTTTTTGAGACAGGATATGTAGCCTTGTAGCTATGTAGCCTTGGCTGTCCTGGACTTGCTTTGTAGGCCAGGCTGCCCTCGAACTCACAGAGATCCTCCTCCTGCCTCTGCGTGTGCCACTGCACCTCTCTATCTATATTTTATAGTTCTTTAAAATATAAACTTTATGATGCTGTACCTACCTTGTGTTGTTGCTGCTTTTTCCTTTTTTTAATGTTTTTGTAAAATTCTTGATAATATCATATAGTATATTTGATCATACTCATTTTCCCCTCCCAACTAGATTTGTGTTTTGAGCCTAGTCTCATGTAGTACTGGCTGGCTAGGACTAATATGTCTTTGTGGATGACCTTGAACTTCTGATATACCTGGCTCTTTCTTCTAAGTGCTAAGGGGTAGAACCATAACATGTTATTTTTAGTATTCATTACTTATGGCGCTTAAACTTCAGATAGAGTTTTTAGTCCTTCAGTCTGTTTTGTGTTTAAGCTCATAGTCATCAGAACTAGTTCAGATGCTTATTTTACCATGTTAATTATAATTTTATTAATCATTTTTAAACAGTACTTGATGGCAAGTCTATCTTAGAAATAGGATAGGCAGTATTAGAATGGTTGTTTATAATCTATGCACCTCTTTGGGGGTCTGCAACAGCAGCAGTTGGTATAGTGCCTTGTGGTTGTAGTATGGGACTTGTTCTCTGTGGGCTTCTTCCTCTTCTGAAAGTAAAGATGACTTAAGCTCTGGAGCCATATGATCCAGGTTTGAATCCCTTTTCTTCCCTTTACTGCTTTGTAAGCAGCTTTGTTAAGAGTCTTAACTGCCTGGCACTGAAGTGATACATGATATAACTATTATGATATATGGAGTGCAAGAAGAGAGGAAGGACTTGGCCTATATGTTTTAGAAAGTGGAGGGCATGGGCATTCACGTGGTTGCCAAAAAAAAAAATCTTGAGTTGGCAAACAGCAATGACTCTTCTAGATCTCTTATTGTTAACCTGTAAATACTGTTGACACAGCTTACTTATTCTTTTTACACTGTAGGTTGGGTTTTTCGTGAAGAGAGGATGTTCCAAAGGTTTGGTTGAAATCGAACTGTAAGTGTTAAAGCTTCTAAAATTACCCTTTTGGTCTAATTTCTCAGCTTGAATCTTTGCTTTCTTAATGACTTTGGAAAAGAAGATTAATGTCCTATTGTGGCAAATACACTTTTTAATGTGCCTTTTAAAACAAATTTAAAATTCTTTATTTTGAAAAGTTCTCAAGAAATTGTAGTTTAATGGGGGTAATAAGACAAAAGTATAAGACTGACTAATATACACTAAGAAGTTGTAGTCAGTTCTGATGGTACACTTCATAATTCCAGCACTTGGAGAAGGTAGAGACATGAAAGAAAGGAATTGAATGCTATTCTGGAGAATCAGGAGTTGAAGGTCATTCTCCACTAGATACCAAGTTCAAGGCCAGCCTGGACTACTTGGGAATCCTATCTTAAACAAACACACATATCAGAGAGGGAGAGAGAAATTGTAGTCTTTCACAATTCAAGTATCTGTTTCCTTTTTCCAGTTTTGAAATACTTGGGTTGGAGTATAGCACAGTGGTAGAGAGTGTACCAGATATATGTAAAGTCTTGGCTTTGATCGCCTTGTGGAGAAGATGGGCAAACAGATGGACAGTATGAAGCAAGAACTTCTGAAAGCAAAGTATGAGTAAATCCCCTTCTTTCAGAGTCTGTATTTCTTAATGGTCTTCAATAGGCATTGTTATAGCTCTTTCTGGATTCAGAATGGAGTGCGTGGTGAACAATACATGTTCACCCTTTCAGGTAGAGAGTTTCAACTAGGAAAATTTGTATTATGTGGAAGTCAGTTTTCATTCATGCCTTTAATGTACTAATCCATTTTGAATTACAACCAAAGTATGTGATTGAAGAATAGTGTAATGATTAAAGGATAAATAAGCTTTGTGTGTTTGAGGATTAGTATTGGCATTTGTTTTAATTTCAAAAATGTAGGTGATTTTGAATGTTAACCAAATAGTAAATGACATGGCCAATTGTGGGATGATAACAAACAAAAAGCCAAGGTTTCCAGCTTGGGAAGTATCCAGATATATCCAGGCACAGGAGTCTTTTCTGAGACTGATTCTCCAACCAAGGACCATATATGGTTATAACCTAGAATCCCTGCTCAGACGTAGCACATGGCAGCTCAGTATCCAACTGGGTTTTCTAGTAAGGGGAACAGGGACTGTCTCTGACATGAACTCAGTGGCTGGCTCTTTGACCCTCCCTCCCTACCACTCAAGGGAGAAGCAGTCTTGCTAGGCCACAGGAAGGACATTGCAGCCAGTCCTGAAGAGACCTGATAAGCTCAGGTCAGATGGAAGGGGAGGAGGACCTCCCCTATCAGTGGACTTAGAGAAGGGTAGAGAGGAGATGAGGGAGGGAAGATGGGATTGGGAGGGAATGAGGGAAGGGGCTACAGCTGAGATATAAAGTAAATAAACTAATAGAAAAAATAGAGATTTAATTAAAAAAATAAAATCTTTACATGCACCCTAAAAAAAAAGAATATAAATTATAGTACTGTTTCTTAGACTTTGGGTATAGGAAAAGTGATAACATGATATTCTTAAATCAGTGTGTGTTTTGAAAATTAAAAAAAGCTCTTCAATTGTTCTTTAATTAGGTTCAGAACTTCTGGAAATCTTATAATCACCCGTGAGATTGATGTGATAAAAAATCAGTCCTTTTGGTTCATCAACAAAAAGCCTGTAACCCAGAAAATAGTGGAAGAACAAGTTGCAGCCTTAAACATCCAAGTGGGCAATCTGTGCCAGTTCCTGCCTCAGGTCTGAGAAGATACAAGGGGATATGGGAAAATTTTGCATTTAACATTTCAGCTTTATGCCATAGAAAACATAAATATCATTCAAGAGATACTGTAATGGATTTGTTTCAAAACAGTACTCAATATTTGTCACTTAGGTTATTAATTTTCAGTTAATAAGCATGAAGTTATTACCCTTTACATTGAACACAGAACTCTTAGCACTTAGTGTTTTTATGGGCATTGTGACACATTTCTGTAATAGTAGTACTTAGTACATCAGCCTGGGCTACATCGAGAGTTCCAGGCCTCCTGGACCTCAGTCATCCATATGTTGTGTTAATAATTCAGTTTAGTAAGGTAAAATTACAAAATGTTTTTTAAAAAACATTTTTATGTGTATCTGTGTGGTATGCACATGTATTTGAGTGCACCTATGTACACATACTTTTAGAGGCCAGTGGTTAATATTATATGTCTTTTGCATTCACTGTCAACTTTATTTACTGAGACATTGTCAGAACCAGGATTTCAGCAGTTTGACAAGAAGATTTCCCATCTGTGCTGGAACAGTGGGATTACAGGCAGGTGGCCATGCTGACTTAGCTTTTCTGTGGTTACTAGACACCCAGACTTCTGTCCTCACCCTTGAAAGCGCTTTATCAGCTAAGCCATGTCCCGGCCCATAAGAAAGGTACTTTAAGTACAGAGTACTTTCAAACTTTATTTGCAAACTTTGACATTGTTCAAAGAACAACTTCTTAAAAATATTTTTATTAATTCTTTGAGAACGTCATACAATGTGTTTTGTATTTCCCCTATTTCTTCCCCTTAACTTCTCTAAAATTCACCTACTTCCACCTCTCCATCTACTACCAATTTTGTGTCTTTTGTGATTTTTTTTTCCTTGTAACAATATTAAGATTGGATTCCAATTTGTGCTGTCCATATACTCTTCAGTGTGGGCCGTCTCCTTAATTGTGTATCATGGGCCTTGCCCTTAAAACTAATTCTCCCTCCCCCAGAAGCCAGCAACTTAACTGTTCATAGCTCCTCAATTGGGGTCAGGGCTCATGAACCACTTCCACGTAGAGTGTTAACTGGCTTGGTTGATGTTGTTCAGGAAGCCATAGGTGCCGTGCATTCCTGAGTATGGTGACCCTGAGGAGCCACTGTTAATGAGCAACCTTTTATAGTTGTTTTGTTTTTCAAGACCGTCTGTAGACCAGCCTGGCCTTGAACTCAGAAGTCCACCTGCCCCTGCCTCCTGAGTGTTGGGATTAAAGGCGTGGACCACCATGCCCAGCTTAATTAATGAAGAACTTTTAGTCAGTGCATTTGTATGATACAATGGTTAGAATAAACTTCTTTTACATGTAGGTGTGCTTTCTAAAGTCTAGTAATGTTTTTTATTTGTCCATTTATAATAAAATATCCTGGTCTGAAGAGATGGCTCAGCTCTTCAAAGCACTTGCTGGTCTTCCAAAGGACCTAAATTTGATTCCCAGCACCTACATACAGCAGTTTACAACTACCTAAACTCCAGCTCTAGTGGGTCTGACGCCTTTTTCCTGACTCCTTGGGCATTGCACTCATATGCACAAACCCACACATAGGTAGGTGATCACACATACATAGGTGATATAAAACATTTCTTAGAGATTTTTTTTCAACTGTCCTAATAATCTACATTTAAAGTTACTGTCTTTTAAGTTGATTTTAATGTTGCTTAGTGACTACGCTATAGCTTATTTTCCTCACAGACATACTGATCTCATTTATATTGCAAAACAGTTTTTAAATGAGACTTTTCTTGGCAAATTTAATACATTTTACAGTATTTATGAATGATAGTTACTAATACTTAATGTTGGTACTGTAGGACAAAGTTGGGGAATTTGCTAAACTCAGCAAAATTGAACTCCTTGAAGCTACTGAGAAGTCAATTGGTCCTCCAGAGATGCATAGATACCACTGTGAACTGAAAAACTTCAGAGAGAAGGAGAAGCAGCTAGAGGTATTTAGAAATAGACAATTCATTTCTGTTGTCATTTAATGATTCTGTGTCTCAAAATGTGCAAGAATGGCCGGGCAGTGGTGGTGCATGCCTTTAGTCCCAGCACTTTGGAGGCAGAGGGAGGTGGGTCTCTGAGTTTGAGGCCAGCCTGGTCTACAGAGTGAGTTCCAGCTCTGCCAGGGCTCAACAGAGAAACCCTGTCTTGAGAAAAACATAAAAGGAAAGAAAGAAAATGAAAAAAATAGGCAAAAATGGGTAGTATTTCTGTATGTGAGTAAATTCATAATTGTGTTTGATTTCTCACCTAAGCTTATATTTCTAACAGCAACTGGTGACAGAAAATGGAAATGATTTTGATTAAATGAAGTTTGAAGATTTTGACTATTTCAGTAAATACTTGTTACCACTAGAGGTTTTAAGGAACTGTCTCATAGGAAGTTAGTTTTTCTTTCGTTTGGTACCCATCAAATACTTGTCACATGTAAGGTTTTGAGATTTACAGAAAATAAGGATGTGGTATTTTAAAACACCTCTGTTGATGTCCTTTGGTTTATTTGTTTTAAGTCAGATTAGGCAAACTATAGAATTAGTTGAAGTGTTGATTTTTAATTTTTACCTTCAACAAATATATACCTTCTCTTTAAGTATATCTGTACTTGGTAAGTATTTTATTGTAATAAAACATTAATTTTATTGTCTTAGGTCCAGGATTTTTGTTTTTATTCAGTTCTGTGTCTGGTACTCCTTCAGTTCTTTGGTCTTGATGAAAAACCACTTTTGCATCAATCTAATACTTACACCTGAAATCCATTTCTAAATTACCTTCCACCTGCTGAAGGAAACATGCATGTTTTTTTTTTTTTTTTAATATTTTTATTTATTATAATTTATTCACTTAGTATCCCAGGTGTAGCCACCTCCCTCATCCCTTCCCAACCCCACCCTCCTCCCTTATCTCCTCCCATGCCCTTTCCCCAGTCCACTGATAGGGGAGGTCCTCCTCCACTTCATCTGACCCTAGTCTATTAGGTCTCATCAGGACTATCTTTGATAGTCTTCCTCTATGGCCTGATAAGGCTGCTGCTTCTCAGGGGAAGGTGATCAAAGAGCCAGCCCCTGTACCCCTCACTAGGGAGACCATTTGGAGACTGTGCAGGGGTTCTAGATTTTCTCCATGAATGGTCCTTGGAGTATCAGTTTCAGAAAAGACCTCTGGGCCTAGATTTTTTGGTTCTGTGTTCTCCTTGTGGAGTTTCAGACCCTTCCAGGTCTTTCTATCTCCCCCTTTTTTCATTAGATTCTCTGCACTTTGCCTAAAGTTTGGTTATGAGTCTTGGCATCCACTTTAATAACCTGCTGGGTAGAGTCTTTCAGAGACTCTCTGTGGTAGGCGCCTCTGTTGTTCCTTGTTTTCACCTTCTTCCAACTTCTATCCCGTTTGCCTTTTTGAATGAAGATTGAGCATCTTTCCTGGGGTCCTCCTTGCTTAGCTTTTTTAGGTGTACAGATTTTAGTATGATTAGCCTATGTTATATGTTTAATATCCACTTACAAGTGAGTATATACCATTTTTGTCTTTCTGCTTCTGGGATACTTTACTCAGGAGGTATCTTTTCTAGGAGGATGATCTTTTCTAGTTCCCACCATTTGCCTGCAAATTTCATGATTTCCTTGTTTTTAATTGCTGAGTAGTATTCCATTGTGTAACTGTACCACAATTCCATTCCAGTTGAGGGACATCTGGGTTGTTTCCAGTTTCTGGCTATTACAAATAAAGCTGCTACAAACATGGTTGAGCAATTGTCCTTGTTGTATACTTGAGCAAAGTGGCTGGATACAAAATTAACTCAAAAAAATCAGTAGCCCTCCTGTATACGGAAGACAGATGGTCTGAGAAAGAAATTAGGGAAACAACACCCTTTACAATAGCCACAAAGGATATAAAGTACCTTTGTGTAACTCTAACCAAGCAAGTTAAAGACTTGTATGAAAGAAACCTCCAGTTTCTGAAGAAAGAAAGAAGATACCAGAAGATGAAAAGATCTCCCATGCTCATGGCTTGGCAGGATTAACATAGTAAAAATGTTTTGTTTTGTTTTGTTTTAACTAGGCTTTCAGTGCATTTTTGTGTTTGTTAATGTGCAATAGATTGAATGTTAGTTTTCTGTGATTTCAAAGTCCTTAAGGCCTGAGCACTCATGATACACTAACCCTTAAACTCCTTTACATTTATATGTCATTTTTACAGCTTTTATCAAGACTTCACCTGGGCAAGTAGGGAGGAAATCTAAAAGGAATCTATCATGAGTCATATAGGTGTCTATAAAGCTTCAGTTTGGGAGACTTCAGATTGTAGGTGCTTAGCTGGTAGTAACATCCATGCAAATACTTCAAAATTAGTAAATTTCAAAAGTAAACGCTTTAAGCATTATGCATTTCAAGTAAAGAATTCTTAACATGTATTAAGTAAATTGTTTATTTTATCTTTAGGCAAAGCTCCAGGCTTGGAGGTGTTGAAAGGCTTCCTCACAGTTACATGACTAATGTATTTTAGAGCCTTGAACCGTAACTTCTCTGCATCAGTATTACTCTCACCTGATTTTTGTTGTTGGTGTTGTTTATAGACAGGATCCTCTGTAGCCCAGGCCAGCCTTTAACTCTTGTTTGTAGCTGGGATGACCTCGGACATCTGATTCCCTTCCGTCTACCTATTCTGCACTGAAGTTAGAGCTGTGTATCACTAGTCTGATTTTAAGCAGTGCCGGGGATCAAATCCAGAACTTCATGCCTACGAGGCAAGCATTCTCCCTAGCCTCACTTTTACATAGTTCTGAAGAACTCTTACAGAATCCTTTCTTGTAAAATTTTGCTTATATTGTGTTTCATTGTTAAAAGCTTTAACTTTCTTTGTTCTTTTTTTTCCCCTTTAAACTAATTGTCAGCAATTACTTATTTTAGACCTCTTGCAAGGAGAAAACTGAATACCTAGAGAAAATGATTCAGAGAAATGAAAGGTACAAGCAAGATGTGGAACGATTTTATGAAAGAAAGCGACATTTAGATTTAATTGAGATGCTTGAGGCAAAAAGACCATGGGTGGTAAGTGTTAATTTTCTGAGGTAAAAATAAGTGTCTTTAGCTGTCTTAGAGGTTGCTTTTATTGCTGTGATAAACACTGTGGCCAAAAGGAACTTGAGGAGAAGGTTTACTCCAGGTTATAATCAGGGTCCATTTTGAAGGGATGTCAGGGCAAGAACTCTAGGCAGGAACTTGCAGACAGTAACTGAATCAGAGGCCATGAAGGAATACTACTTAATGCTGTGTTTTTCATGTCTTTCTCAGCCTGCTTGCTTATGTCCCCAGAACTTTCTGCCCCAGGGATGACACCAACCACAATAGGCTGGGCCCTGCCACAGCAATCATTTTAAAAACTATACCAGTCTGATGGAGGCATTTTCTCAATTAAAGGTCCTTCTCAGATAATGCCAGCTTGTGTGAAATTGACCAAAAAAATCAAAACAAAACAAATGCAATGACTTGAGTACTTACAAAGTATGTAGCCTCTCATTTTATATTCACATTACATATTATTTTTAAAATTTTACATTACATGTTATGCATAAGTATTTTTCTTATTTTTTATTTGATATATGCTAATTACCACATAGCAAATAGTTGACTGAGTCACCATTGTTAATTCTTCAGGTTTTAGTCCTTAACAGTTCTTTGCTTTTTCCCCTTTATATTAATGATATAATGTGTTCGTTCACATTAAAAATTAAATTATTAGGGTTAGGGCTATTGTTCAGTGTCACTGAAAATGTTTTTGTGTGTGCCTAAGAATTTAATTGAGGTATGCTACATGTAGCTGCAGTATCCTAACTGGATTTTCATACTTGGAAATTTTCCTAACTCTGTTGTATTTTTTCTGTTTTAAAATATGCATATTTATTACCTATGACCGATTTGAATAAATAGTGTGTTTTCTTTCTACATTATTTAATGGGTATAAACATTACTTTTTATGTGTTTGTTCCATGTTTCCAGTAGAAATAAGTATTAGTTTGAAAATAATGTATGACTATATATTTTGGCACTCTTACTTTCTCCAGCCAGGTTTTGAAGTTTCATTATTCTTAATTTTTTTTCATTTCTATACCTTTTATTGCATTTTTTCCATGTTTAATATTATTTTATTATTCTATCTTTTGAAGTCTTAATTCCTTTTTTAAGAGATTGATTTTAATCTTTAATTTTTTTAAGTTTAAAATTTGTTTAGTTTTTTTTTTTCCCTTTTGCTTTATTTTATTCATGTTTTCAAAAGATTTTCTAGTTTTATATGGAAGGTGGGTATGAGGAAGACAGAAGAAAACATTTAGTCTTCTTAAGCTGGAGTGGATTTTGAACTGCCCATGATATGAACTGAGTTTTCTGAGCAGGAAAAACTCTTAACTGCTGAGCCATCACTCCAGCATTCTCTGTCCTCATTGACTCTTACAACTATTTCAGCATTCTGTTTTCTTGTTATTCAGCTAATTCCTGTACAGTGACAGTTTTTTAAAAATGTAGACAGCTTGTGGGAGGTTGTTCTCTCTTTTCACCAGGTGGGTCCCAGGAATTGAACTCATGTCAAGTCATTAGGCTTGTTAGCAGGTGCCTTTGCCTGCTGGGCCGTCTCTTTGGCCTAGACATTATTTTTTATCATGCTAGTAGCTACAAATTTCTTTTTATTTTACTTTGACCCATTTTCTTTACCTTTCAAAATTAAAATCTTTTTGTCTGATTACTTATTCCTTAATCTTGTCTTTACTGATAAAAGAAAATCTCAGCCGGGCAGTGGTAGCACAGGCCTTTAGTCTCAGCACTTGGTAGGCACAGGCAGGTAGATCTCTATGTTCAAGGACAGCCTGGTCAAAGTAAATTCTAGGGACAGCCAGGGCTACACAGAGAAACCCTGCCTCGGGGGGAAAAAAAAGAAAGGAAGGAAGAGAGGGAGGGAGGAAGGAAGGAAGGGAAATTTTTTGTTTACACTTTCGATTTAGGATGTTACTTTAAATGCTTAATATATTAACTTCTGTTAATTGGATTATTTTCAAGGAATATGAGAATGTACGTCAGGAATATGAAGGTGTAAAACTAGTTCGTGACCGAGTGAAAGAAGAGGTCAGAAAACTTAAAGAAGGGCAAATTCCTATGACACGTCGAATTGAGGAAATTGAAAGGCAGCGTCGTACTTTGGAAGTTCGAATCAAAGAAAAGGTACTTTTGTTGTTCAATTAAACATAGAAAAAATACTTCTTATGTCTTTGAAAGTATTTTCTAGGGTTTACTTGCAGCTTTTATTCTTCAAGTTCTTTAGGAATTAATTTAGGATTGGAGAGGAATTCCAAAATGATTGTTGCTGGAGATATTGGCTCAGCACTTAGGACTTTGAGGCAAGAACATCATTGTGACTGAGGCTAGCATAGGCTACAGAATGAATGAGATGTAGCCTCTAGAGAAAGTTTGTTTTAGCTACAAACTGATAAATCATATTTCTTAGAAACACTGAAGGTTGTGTGTGTGCATGCGTATGTATGTGTGGGTGTATGTTATTTATCGTTTATAACTTTAAATTGCTTATGGTGTTGATTTTTAGTTTTCCAGGGATACAGAGGGATCAGAGGTGTTTTAGAGCTTCTATTGCTGTGATAAAACACCACAACCAAAAGAAACTTGAGGCAGAAAGGGTTTCACATCACAGATTACATCCATTACTGAGAGAAGTCAGGGCAGAACCTAGTTGGAGGAACTGAAGCAGAAACCATGGAGGAGTGCTGCTTACTGGCTTGCTCTGCCTGCTTCTCAAACAACTCAGGGCCTGCCCAGTGGGAGCACTGTGCCTGGTCTCCATGAGCTTGGCCTGCCGACATCTGTCATTAATCAAGAAAATGTGCTACAGACTTGTCTACAGGTATATGGGTGGAAGCATTTTCTCAGTTGAGGTTCCTCTTCCCAAGTAACTCCAGCTTGTATCAAGTTGGCAAAAAAAAAAAAAAAAAAAAAAAGCCAGCACCACAGGCTATTTTGAAAATGATTAAATGTCTTCTTGTAGAATATGGTATTTTTGTCCTGACTGTGGGGCACTGTGTTTCAGTGGATGCCTAAAACTGAACATAATACCAAATCCTATGTATTTTGAATAGCTTTGTGTAACATGCTTAGGACAAAAATTCTTTAGTGATTCTGGAATTCAGAGTTTTTGCATAGAGTTTACCAGCTGATCATCCATAGTGTGGAAATCCAAACTGAACTTTTTTGGCCAAAAAGTTTTGAATTTTGAAACAGTATAGATTCTGCATTTTCAGATTTGGGATGGTCAACCTGTATTTATTTCCCTCTTATGTGGACATACACATATAGTATATGGTTGCATTTTCTTCTAAAGAAAAAAAATGTGTGTATGTGTGTGTATGTAGCCCCTTTGGCATGTCCGAATTGCCAGCATGACCCCTTTTTTGCTTTAGGATCATTACTAAGTAAGTAAGGCTTATCTGAATAAACACAGTGCAGTCCCTCAGCAGTCTGATAACTGAGAACTACTGAATAATAAGCCTACTTATGGACATGCTGTACACAGTATTGATGTTAGGGACAGGGAAGTGGGGCAGCTTGAGACTTCATAATGGTAAAAAATGACACATAAAAACTACAAATAGTTTTTTCCTGGAATTTCATATTTAGCATTTTTGAACTGTAGTTGACTACAGGTAGGCTTGACAATGCAAAACCACGAATGGGGGCTTACTGTAATACAATATAAGCAGATCCAGAATTTTGAATGGCATTTTGGAGATTCAAATAAATGAAGTGAAGTCAGAGTATTAACATCGACTCAAGTACATCTGATGTATATTAGATAGCTTAAATAATTGATCATTCAGAATTTTAAAGCAGAAGATTACAGATAGTTTTTTTTTTTTTTAGCAGGTCTTAACTTACGGTTAAGGATAATTAAGTCTCAAAGCTTCACATATTTAATAGTTGACAGTCATGTTAATAGTAATTGGTGATAATTAAGTTGTAAATTTATAGTTGCTTTGTGGCACTTGAAGTTACTGTTAAATTACTTCAAATTTTCTATTTTTTTATGGAGTAGAAAACAGTGTCTACAATATATTAAAGAGTCATATATAAAACACTTGTTTTGCTTCTCTGTTTCTAAAAGAAGCCCATTGTTAAGGCAGTCTCGGAAAAATTCTGAGCCTATGTAGAAATGTACATGGGCTAAGATGTTTTAAAAGAGGTGCCTATGGCTTCTGAAGTGGCACATTGTATCAGTCTATGCATGTATATTTTAAAATTATTAGTCCTCTAAGTCATGTGACAGAAATAGTTAATTGTGTTCACCATTTCTCTTCCTCTCCTCCTTTTCAGCAGAAACCCTTCTAACACTCTGAGGTTTTTTTCCCCTCACATTCCAGAGAGGCCCTGTAATGTTACAGATAGAGACCATTGGCTCTGAGTTTAATTCACGTCTGTATTATAAATGCTCTTGCTGTTGCTTAGAAGTTGTCTGGTCTTATTTTCTTCATATTGCCAAATTGTTTTCATAGTCAGACAAAATACCAGGAAAACATGTAGAAACAAATATTTGCACATGTATTACTATTCTTTTTAGTATTAATAGGAATTACCTATAGGTTTTCTATACCATTAGTAATTTTTGTGGTAATTATGAATTTGATTTGAATGAAAATGTGAGAATGTATTATGGGTTGATTCACATAGTATTGGGGTGGATGGGACCATATAATGTATTCACTTGAGTTTTTAATTAACCTTTCTCTCTGGTTCAATCTTGCAGGCAACTGATATTAAGGAAGCATCTCAGAAATGCAAACAAAGGCAAGACTGTATTGAGCGGAAGGATAGACATGTAAGATTCCCTACCGAAAGCTGATTACCTTAATTACTTGTTTCAAATGGGGCCAAATGGTTATTGTAATTGTTTAGAAACTATCCAGAATCCTCTGTGAGGGAAACTAACTTTGTTAAGTATGTTAGCTGCACAAAAGATAACTGGGGGAATTCCTTGGTTACTTATGTGGCCGCATCACAGATGTGCTATGTTTTTTTTTTTTTTATTTTGGTTTAAAAACTATAATTCTTATTTGCTTTTTTAGTTTTTAATCAGAACAGGGTTTCACTTTGTAGCCCTTACTGTCCTGGAACTCACTCTGTAGACCAGGCTGGCCACAAATTCAGAGAGATCCGCCTGCCTCTGCCTCCCATGTCCAGGGATTAAAGGTATGCACCACCACTCCTGGCTTAAAAAGTTGTAATTTTTAGTGTTGTCATTCAGTTAAGATTTCTTAGAAGTTCTTACTATTTTAATTTCATAGTTAGGATATTTCCTTAGGGAGTAGTAGGCAGTTTGAAGCCAGGGTTTTTGCTATGCTCCAACTTCTGAAGTACATAATTTAGTTTGTGGGACTGTAATGGTGGTAGTTTCCCACACCAATCAGAATGTTACTATATTGCTCTAAGGTCACTAAATATAGCCTTTGTGACTAGAATGATTCTTTATTTACGATTACATTTGTTTGTTTATGTGCATGTACCACAGCACATGTGTAGAGGTCAGAAGAAATCTTGGGAGAGTTGATTGTCTCCTACTATATAGATTGTTAAAGTTGCCATCTTACCCACTGAGCTCTTGGTAGCCCTTGAATTCTCGTTTTCAATCCAGGCTACTAGTCTAGTGTCTTTTGATTGTGGAATTGATACTATTAGATTCAGTTTTTATTGGAAGATCTATATGTCTTTTTGTTGATTCTGTGTGTTGGGTATGTGTGTGTGTATGTGTGTTGGGTATGTTGGGTTCTGTGTGTGTGTTTCCTTTTGCTGGGTTACTTACGTGCTATTCTGTTGTGTCTTATTCCTTTCTGTAGCATTGTGAGTGTGTTATCTTTCTCTTTATAGTCTGAAGTGTCATTTCTGGAGCAGTTTACTCATAAATTTCTTTAGCCTTTTGTTCTGGGAAGCCTGTCTTTTTCCTTAAACTATGACAGGTAGTTTAGATGTGGGTTGGCTTATGTTGTCTTTCAGAATTAGAAGTGCATTGTTCCTAACCTCCCAGTTTGTTGGAAAATAATGCCATTTTCCTAGTTGGCCTTCTACTCTATGATAGGTGTTTTAGCTTTCAGTACACTTTGATCTGTATAATTAGTGTTTTTATTATAATATGACCAGAAAATGTTGTCTGGTCTTAATCTGTTCTGTGTTCTAAATGGTATTTTATACTTGGATCAGTATCTATATCTAGATTTGGGAAATTTTCTGTTATGGTTTATTGAAAATGTTTTCTATGCTTTCGGCATGAAATTATTCTTGTATCGTCATGATTTGGTTTTTGTTCAAAATACGCCATAGCTCTTGAATTTTTCTGTTTGTACCTGATGTCTGCTTTAAATTCCTCGATTGTCAGGCTGGAGAGATGGCTCAAGAGGTTAAGAGCACTGGCTATTCTTCCAAAGGTCCTGAGTTTCAATTTCCAGCAACCACATGGTGGCTCACAACCATCTATATAATGAGATCCGGTGCCCTCTTCTGGCCTGCAGGCACAACACTATATAAATAATAAACACATTAAAAAAAAAAAAATCCTCGATTGTCTGAATGTTCCAGTTTCTTCAACCCTGTGTTCAAGTCGTGATATTCTGTCCTTCCTTTGATCTATTATGTTGGTGAGGGGTTTTGTGGAACTTTTTATTCAACTTTATGAATTTCCTTTTTTATTTTTCACATTGATTTATTTATTTATGTTTATTTGCTTATTGTCCATATGCGCACATGTGTATGTATATGTATGCATGTAGGAATGTATGTGTATTATATGCCATGATATGTGTGTAGAGATCATAGAACAACTTGTAGGAGTCAGTTCATCCTTAATTGGGGATCAAATTCAAGTCTTCATGATTGCTGGCATGCACTTTTATTTACTGAGCTATCTCACCTTAGAAGAGGATCTTAATAAGAATCTTGGACATAAGTCTCTTTCTTGAACTTCGTATGTACGTAGTCAAGGATAATCATGAACTTTGGATTCTCCTGTCTGGTGTTGGGATTATAGACATGAACCACTGTTACAGGAATTTTTATTTTATTCTTCTGGTTCATTTGTTGTCTCAGAGGCTTACTGCCTCCTTCTGCTAACCTAGGCCTGATCCTAGAAGGTCCTAGTCTCCATACAATCTAACCTAGGCTTAGAATGCTTCCAGCCTCTGAGGCTTATTGCTTAATTATAAGTCGGGTGGACTTATAATTTCGTGTTCTTTCTGAGCTCTGGGCTGGATGGTTCAACTCAGTTGTTCTGGCTCAAACTCTTCTCCCAGTTAACTTATTCAGTCTAGCTTTTCGCTCGGCCTTTGAATTGCTCTGCTTGACGTCAAATGGACACCAGTAATCTCTAATCTTCTGGCTCCTTTTCATTCTCTGGCTCATTTGGTCTTCACCTGAGTCTAGCTTGTTCTCTCTCCCAACCTCTCTGTAAAACTCTCCTTGTAAAACTGCCACCCGTCTTTTCTCTGCCTTGGCCCTTAAGTAGTTTCCTTTTCCTCTCTTCTGGTGAGAGTGGGCATATCCTATTCCGTCAAAAAGGTGAATTTTCTTTTTTTCTGCCACTCAGACATGGTGCTTCCTTCTACAAACCAACTTTACTTTCATTATTTGGGACTAAAGGCATGTAACACTGCATCTGGACCTAAGTTTTTCTTCACCTAAAACTTGCTCTATACCAAGCTGGCCTTGAGCCCAGATCTGCTTGCCTCTTGTCTCCTGGATTGAAGGTGTATTTGTATTTCAGCTGGATCACACAGACCTAGAAGGTCTTTGAATATGATCTTTTACCAGAGCAGCCATGTTCTGAATTAAAATTCCTCCACGAACCACCACAATGGGTTTATGTAGTGATTAGGATAGAATACAGGACTTCATGCATGGCAGTCACTGTACCAACTTAGAGCTGCATCCTCCGCCTCCATCATGTCTTCAGTTTTCAAATTTATCTGGTTCTATATGAGGCCCACCATGAGTCCATTCTGCTCAGAATTCATGAGTTTCTTAGTTCTGCTTAGAATTGCAAAGTTTGGGGCTATTTGTTTATACAGTATTCTTTTACCTCCTTACCTTCTGAAATACCATATTACATGTTTGATATATCACAGGTCTCTCCAGTTACATTCATTCATTCTTTCTTCTGTCCTCTCTCCTCCCTCACTCCCTCCCTCCCTTCCTTCCTTTTTAGTTTGTCTTTTTCTTTTTTTGTTCTCAAAATGCATAATCTCAGTTGATTTTGTGCAGTTTGCTTATTCTTAGGCTTTTTAGATCTACTTTTGAGTCCCTCTGACAAATCTCATTTTGAATAGAACATTTTCAATTCCAGAATTTCTAACTGGCTGGTTTTGTATTGTTTTTTAGTGTTTCCATCTATTGATATTGCCTCTTCAGTAAAACTGTTACTGTTTCTTTTAAATACAATTTTTTTATGTGTTAAAATATATGTTTTAAATAAAGTCTTTAGTGGTCTCTAAGTCCCATTTGTGGTCTAATTTGAGTATTTTTCTGGGTTTTTTTTTTTGTTTGTTTGTTTGTTTGTTTGTTTCCTGTGTGAGTGCCTGTGTTTTATTTCTTAGACTTTAACCATTTGGGGGTTATTGTCAAAAGTACACAATTTAAATAACAAAATATAGCAAACTTAAAAATCAGTTGTCTTCTTTTCATGAAAGGTGACTGTTCTTATTCATTGATGTGTCTGCTTGTTTGTAATACTAAGGCTTGAAACTAAGGCTTCTTAGTCACTCCAGGCAAATGTTCTACCATTGAGCTATGTCTCCAGCCTTGATAATGATGCTGATGATTGTCTAGTCACTTCTAGTCATTTGACTGGCTTTTAAGTCAATGTCAGATTAGTTTTCTCACAACTGGACAGACTTCTTTACATGCCTAGAATCATTGTGTGTGCCAGCCATTGGAGAGTGGGTGTGTTGTGCTCTGCCTTCAGCACTGAGTCCAATAAGTTCTGTTTGTTGATTTCCAGTCATTTTAAAAAAATAAATGTTGCCTAGATTTTAATAAACTTCCAGTCATTTGACTGCAAATGTGCATATCTGTTCCAGCTTTTACTTCCTGTTTTTATAAACCTTAAGGTAAAGCAGGTGAGAGCTCAGGTATCCTAGGATATGCAGTTCTGTTTATGTAAATGTTACTGTGGGCTCCAGGAGCTTCCAGAGGCCTACTTGAACAGCTCAGTCCCAGTTTCTAAGACTTTTGCTTTGTTTATGTTTGCTACAAATGATATTCTTATCCCTCTTCAAGCAGCTGTGATAGTCAATAAGTTCTGCTGATTGCTTTTAGCAAATGTGTTCAGGAACAAAGTTGTTTTGCACTGGGTAAGCTGTGAGTTAGATTGTGGAAAGACAAGCCTTTTGAAACTGTTCTCTAGGAAACTGCCAGACAGAGTGGATAATGACAGTTTCTCAAAAATTGTTGAGCTGATTGCTTTCACTATTATTGTGAGTTATTATAAAAAATATGACAGAAGTGGGAAAACAAGATAGGTTTGGGAATTCAGCTTGTCTAGAACTTTACAAAGATTATCACTTTTACCAACATTCAGCCAGAATTTGGTTTGGCTAGTAAACACTTCCCAGTAGTGTGCTGCAAACATTTGATAAAAAAGTTAATTTTGACAGTTTTTGTCATTCATTGATTTTTTTTTTTAATAGAGAAGGTTGTAGAGTTTCTTATTTCACTATTCCTGATGAAATCTGAATCTTTTCTATATCTACAGAAAAGTGTTGCTTGGATTTTGATAAGAATTGTGTTAAACCTTGGGGGGAAATTGAAATTTTTACTGTTTTGAGTCTTCCTTTCTAGAGCACAATATGTGTCAGTTTATTTCGATTTTTTGTTTTTTCTGTCAGCATTGCCTGTTTTGGGCATACATTTCATCTGTGTTTTGTTAGAGTTAAACCTTAATCTGTCTATTCCCTCTCTTTCTCTCCTTTCTACCTAGATTCTGTAGACTTTTTAAAAATACTATGTCACATGTAAATAGAGATATCCTTGAGTTTTGGTTTGGTTTTTTTTTGTTTTTTTTTTTTTTTTCTTTTCTGATTTATTTGTGTTTCCTTTTCTTGCCTTACTGCATTGGTTAGTATTTCTAGCACTGTTGAGTAAAAATGATGAACATAGACTGTCTCATTCATGATCTTAAAAAGCACTGGATTTCCACCATTAAATGTGTATCTTCTTTTATACATAGAAATGAACTTTATCAGATTTAGGAAGTTTCTTTACAGATTGCTCTCTTTCTGAAAATTTTTATTTTGAATGAAGCTAAATTTTTATCAAATACCCTTCAGAGCCATCAGTCTGGAAGTAGTGAGGGAGAACATTGAGTGAGGGAAGTAGTAGTTAATTCACAACAGGATGATGAGTAGCAAAGTCTGATCCCATAGTATTAAAAGAAACTACAGTAGAGCACAATTAAAGGAGGAAGGAGGGTAATTGCCGTGAGAGGACCTTTGCTCTTGGCCCTAACCTAAAACAAATGTTTCTGGCCAGTCATTCCTGGAGAGAGCTCAGAAGAGAAGTATCTTGCAGAAATAACCAAGATTTAGCTAGAATAAGAAAGTACATTCAGAGAGATTGAGCACCACAATGGTAGATCTAACAAGACCTAGAGATATGAGGTTTAAACATTGCTGTGTGCTCAAGCTCAACCTCAGTACTAGTCATGGTGGGACTTATGTGATTATTGAGGGCATTGATAGTCTGCTGATTGAGGGTTGCAAATGTGTTACAGTTGAGAAAACATAAGCCAAAAAATAAGGAGTTTTTGAGATGTGTTTCTGTTTTTTAAGGTTCATATTAAAGACTATCTTTGGCAAAGTTTTTTTTTTTTTTTTCCAATCCAGTGTTTTGGGGTTTTTTTTCTCTCTTTTTTAATAGCATAATTCTGGGAGTATAAAATATATTTATGTTCAGTTTCTTGTCTCTTTTGTGGACTTGGACTTTGACTTTTTGATGTACTCAGTGATACCTTGTTCTTATGCTCGGACATGCTCACTATTCTCCTGAATGATCTGGACTTTGTGGGTTTCATGGATGAATACTGTGACTTCTTGTCTATTTCTTTAATTTTTGGTGTGCATGTGTATATGTAAAAATATCTGTTACTTTATGTCTCTTTTTGAGCTAGAAGACAGGATTTGGCATATGCTTAATTTCTTTAGTACACCAAATTTGAATTTTCAGAAAGAAATTTCTAACAAGAGGGAATAACATGCAGTGATTCCATAGTAAATTACAAGGCATGATACTGGTGTTAAATTTTTATTTTGCAAGAATAGATTCAGAAAGTAGTGAAAACGCTGTAAGCAAAGTTTACACAATTCCACTTAATCCAAATGTTTTATAAATAAGATACAAGTAGGCATTGAAGAAATATAAAGTTTAAAGACATTCTACTATACATTATTTTTATTCATTCTAAGTCTCTTTCTATAAACTTATAATGGCGAAGAGGAAGAAGTAAAGTGACTTAGAAATAAAACTAGTTAACAGTTTATGCAATGTACTACCTTTATCTTTTTTATTTCATTTTGTATTTTGATTTTTCAAGACAGGGTTTCTCTGTGTAGCTGTGGCTGTCCTGGACTTGCTTTGTAGACCGAGCTGGCCTTGGTGAACTCAAAGCAGTCTGTCTGCCTCTGCATCCCTGAGTGCTAGGATTTTGCCCAGTTCCTACCTTTTTCTATTTCAGTGCAACATTCTAGTTATGAAAGCAAATTAAATGCAAAAGTATACATTTGTATATATCTTTTTTTAGACTTAAAAAATGTTTATGGGTGTTTACCTTCATGTAGGTTGTATACCTTATGTGTTCCTAATGCTCTGACAGACTGGAGGAGGGTGCTGGATCCTCTGAAACTGGAGTTATAGCTGGTTGTGAGCTACCATGTGGGTGCTAGGAATCAACCCAGGTCCTTTGAAAAAGAGTCCTTTAACCACTGGACCATCTCTCCAGTTCCTCATTTGTGTTACGTCTTAAGGAAAAGTGGTGTTTTTTGTAAACTATGATTTTAATTAAATTCTGTTGAGAACAGGTGGCTACCTAGTATATCTGATTTTTTAAAATAATTTATTCTGATTATAGAACAAAAAGTTTAAATATAAAGATTGATGATTAAAATTTCAGTGTTAGCTTGAAGTATTGATAGAAAATGGTTTTGTTGAAAGAAAATTGTTTTGGTTTAAAAGTAAGAAATTAGAATTAGTATCATTTTTGTGGTACATTCTAAGAATGTTTAGGCATCTGACTTTACATGTTTTTATTCACCAAACATTTTAATAAGTACAAACCATATGTAAAGTTGCTGATGATACTTTTGATATACTCAGGAACAAATATAATTACTGATAATCTGCTGATATACCTTTAAACAAAGGACTGCGTATAAGGGCGTATGCCTGCGTACATCCAGAAGGTGTGGTGACTCAGCCTCAGGTCTTCTGTGTGCTAGACAAGTCAGCTTTTCCAGTGAGCACCACACCCTCACCCTAGGCAGTTTAAAACTATGTTTCTACAAAAACCAAATAGACTAGAAGAAAGTAGTCTTGGGTAATAACCTACTTTTACTTTGTTAGATTAAGGAACTTCAGCAGGCCTTAACAGTCAAACAAAATGAAGAGCATGACCGGCAGAAGAGAATAAGTAACACCCGCAAGATGATAGAAGATTTGCAAAATGAGCTCAGAACTGCAGAAAACTGTGAGAACCTTCAGCCTCAAATTGATGCAATCACAAATGATCTGAGGCGAGTTCAAGAGGAAAAGGCATTATGTGAAGGCGAGATCATTGATAAACAGAGAGAAAAGGACATGCTGGAGAAGCAGAAACGGAGTAAGTTTCCTGGAGGCAAAGAATAGTTCATAAAATACAGACTTGCTTATTTCCCCTAACTTTTACCCCCTCCTAATTTCTCTTTGATCTATTTTATTCTGCTTATCTGAGTGCATACAGTAAGAGTAGTACTCCCCTTCCCCCAGGTCTACTCTTTTTTTTAATATTGTTTAATTAAATTTTAATTTTTTTACATTAATTACATTTTATTCACTTTACATTTTAGCTGTATCACCCTCCCTCATTCCTTTCCAATCCCACCTCCCCTCTCTCATCTCCTCCATGCCCCTCTCCAAGTCCACCAATAGTGGAGACCTCCTCCCCTTCCATCTGACCCTTGCTTATCAGGTCTCATCAGGACTGGCTGCAATGTCTTCCCTTTGTGTCCTGGCAAGACTGCTCCTCCGTCAGGGGGGGGTGGTCAAAGAGCCAGCCACTGAGTTCATGTCCCTGTTCCCCTTACTAGGGTACCCACTTGGACACTAAGCTGCCATGGGCTACATCTGAGCAGGAGTTCTAGGTTATATCCATGTATGGGCCTTCTTTGGAGAATCAGTCTCAGAAAAGACCCCTGTGCTCAGATATTTTGGTTCTGTTGCTCTCCTTGTGGAGTTCCTGTCCTCTGGAGGTCTTACTCACTCCTTCTTTCATATGATTCCCTGCACTCTGCCCAAAGTTTGGCTGTGAGTCTCAGCATCTGTTTTGATACATTGATACACTGCTAGGTAGAATCTTTCAGAGGCCCTCTGTGGTAGGCTTCTGTCTTGTTGCCTGCTTTCTCCTACTTGCAATATCCTTCCCCTTTGTCTTTCTAAGTGGGGATTGATCCTCTTACCCTGGGTCCTCCTCCTTGTTTAGCTTCTGTAGGTGTGCAGATTTTAGTATGTTTTTCCTATCTTATTGCCCAGACCTACTCTTAACTCTTAGCAGTTGATTGTGACACTCCTGCTTCTATTCATCACATCGTATTTTAGTGTTGCTTAATTAATTGTACATACCTTTGTTTTCTGAGTGTAGATTTTAGGGCAAAATGGCCTCTCTCTCTCTCTCTCTCTTACTCTCTTACTCTTTGAGGTATGATCTTTGTGTAATCCTGGCTGTTTTGGAACTGGCTGTGTAGAGCAGACTGGCCTCAAACTTACTGAGATCCACGTGCCTCTGCTTCCCCAGTGCTGGGATTACAGGCTGTGCCACCGGTCTTCTTTTTATTGTAATTTTCATATTAGTAATGCTGACACTTGCTATTGAATAGTTGTCAGTGTTAAGTGTATGTTTTTGTATGCTTAGGTACAAATACAGTACTCTGCCCTTACTTTTTACATTCAAGCCTGTCTTAACTATCTCTGTTTTCTGTTTTCAAAGCTAAAGTTTTATTGAGCACAGTAATTGTACTTTCTTAGCACTATCTCTGTTTTCTGTTTTCAAAGCTAAAGTTTTATTGAGCACAGTAATTGTACTTTCTTAGCAATTAGGCTTCTAAACTTATTTATAGCTGAGTATAACTGAGTTACCTTTTATTGATAATATTTTTAAAGGTTTAATTTTCCTTTTTTAGAAAACATCATTTGTTGTAGCATATCTTTAAACTAAAAACAAGTTATTATTTATATATGTGGGCATACATTTGCCACTAGGGACACATGGAGGTCAGAAGACAATCTTTTTTAATTAGTTTTCTCTTCTTACCACTGTGTGATTTGTGGGTAAAATTGAGTTCATCAGGCTTCTTCCATAACAAGCACTTTCATCTACTGAGCTATCTCACCAGCCCAGTATTTCCTTAAATTTGGAAAAAGAAAAACCCAGCTATTGTTTTTTTGTATTGTTTTTTTAATTCTTCATCTTGTGTGTCCTGCTTTTCTAACCAGGCTGTTTCCAAGGCCTTCTCTATGGTCCTCTGAGATTTGTCTCATACCTCTCCTGCACTGAATAAATTTATTCCTGAATTCCATTATCTCCTCCCTACCCCCTCGTCTTTATTTTTCTTATGTTCGTAGAAACTTTCTAAGAAGATAGTGAAAATTCAGTGTTTTTGTATTACTTGAGAACATTTTAAATTTAATATTTGCCTTTCTTGATTTTGTAAATGTTCCACATTAAAGATAATTACTCTCAAAAGAACAAAAATTCTCATGGCCCTTGACACTGTCTTCTGATAGAAAAACTGATTTTATCTTTTTTGATTTTTTGAACAAGCTTTCTTTATGTAGCTTTGACTATTTTGGATTTGCTTTGTAGACTAGGCTAGCCTTGAAATCACGGAGAACCACCTGTCTCTGCTTCCATGAGTGCTGGAATTACAGGCGTGTGCCACTGAGACCAGCTTGTTTTTCTTTTTTTTTTTTTTTTTTTATTCCAGATGACTCTCCTTTTTAATAGTTTCAGGGACACTTTTTATCTTATGTGCTAAGTAATTTTAAAAATATTTCTCCTTAGTGGTAGTTAAAACCTCTAGATTTAAGATATTCTGAATTGTTTACAAGTTAGTATACTAATGTTTTCAGAGAAATAATACTTTTCCTTCCTATTTTAGGTGTAAGTGATCATATAATACGTTTTGACAATCTTATGAATCAGAAAGAAGATAAATTGAGACAGAGGTACCGGGACACATATGATGCGGTCTTGTGGCTGAGGAATAACAGGGACAGGTTCAAGCAAAGAGTCTGTGAGCCCATAATGCTCACGGTAAGAAACTTTATTCATTTTTGTATCAACTGTTAGTTTTATTATGAAGGTCATTGTAGATTTTTGTTGTTGTAAGAATTCTTATTCTTGTGAAAACCCTGGTTTTTCATCATTAGACGTGAAATCATTGTAGAGCTGAGTCTTTACATAAGCTTTTTAAAGTGCACTTGAACCATAATGGTATATAAACCTATGTTTTGTTTTGTTTTTTTCCTAGAGAGAGATTTAAAATCAGGGGACTAGAGCAATGGTTCAGTCTATAATGTATTGGCCATGCAAACATGAAAACCCTAGTTTAATTACCAAAACTAAGTCAGACAGGTAGGGGGAGAAGGTAGAAGTGACATACCTGTAATGCCAGCACTGAGGAGGCAGACAGTAGAATCTCTGTTCAGCTCCAGGCACTCTCTCAAAACCAGATAAATTGGAGTGAGATTGAGGGGAACACCCTATATTAACCTATGGCATCTGCAAGTATGTACACACACAGGCACATACACCCCTTTGAAAGAGTGAAGCTAGGGATTTTCTAACCTAGAATTGTGCATAAAATAAGTTTGTTTAACTAGGTTTTAGATTATAGAGTTAGACTAAAAACTGCTTAAGAGGTGGAAAACTGATATAAAGAATGATCAGGGATGCTTAACAAGATAAGCAAGAAAATCATCTCTTGTAAAAGAGCATTCTGAGGATTTTGTGAATGAAAAAAATAATTGGTATCATAAAATAAGTGATAATTTTGATGTCTGTGGGTCATCAGGAATAGAAAAGCTGTAGCAATTTAGTGAAGTTTGGTCATGATAATAGAATAATTTCCATCACATTATCAAGTGATGAGTTTAGCTTTGTAAAGGGATATAAGAGTAAGAACACATTTTTTTTAATAGTGATATACTACATGTAGATACATAAAATTAGAACTTCCCCCAAATAACTAAGACTGTAACTATACTTTGTTAAGAATAGTGTAGCTTTAACTCTTGTCATATCTTAATATTAGTAAAACTAATATTTGTAATACTCTTTTTTTCATGGTTATATGTGCCTCTAATATCAGTTCTTAAGAGGCTGAAGCAGGAGGATTGAGAGTTTCAGCTACAAGTTAAGTTCCATTCTAGCCTGAGTTACATAGTAAAACCCTGTCCTCTAAAACCAAACAGAAACAACAGCAAGGAATATTTTTTTAAAATTAAGAGAATTTATATTGACAGACATTATCCTTATTCTCATAGTAATATTTACAATAACAGTTATCCTTGTATTAGCATAATTAATGTACATAAAGAATTTATAACGATACTGATAGGTGAGATAAATCACCTCTTATTCTCACAATAGAATACAGTTTAACAATTAAATGCTGTTGTGGGGTTTGGGATGACAGTTCATTTGGTACAATGCTTGCAAAGAACTGAATTTGATCCCCCAAAAACCATGGGAAAAACCAACCAGTGATGGTGTGCTTATAATCCTAGCACTAGAGAGGTGAACGCGGATGGATCTCTGGGGTTCTCTACTAGCCAGCCTAGTGTCTTTGGTGAGTACAGCTAACAGGAGACCTTGCCTCAACAAACAAGGTGGATGGCATCTAAGGAACAATGATAATTGTATTCTGACCTCCACTTAGACATATATATGTGAATCTGCACACATGCACACACACAAACGAATACATACTTTAGGGCTAATAAGAAATGAATATTTATGACCTGTTAATGAATTATAAAACACATTGACTAGGGTCTATAAAAAGTTTTCATTTAAAAACATGTGAAACAGGAAACTACACTAACCAGACGATCTGAAAAGTGGTCTGCTGTACTTGCCCTTCTGTATCTTACTGCTTTGTGAAGGTGCAACTGTAAAACTGCTTTAAAAACTTAGACAAGTACTATTGCCACTGAGTACCAGAAAGAAAGGCTACTAAGAAACAGGAAGCTGAAGAATTAATATATTGTGTAAATTTTGCTTGAGGATATATGTTATACCTGGAAGAAAAAGATAAATCATTCAGGCTTAGTGTAGCACGTATTTACTAGAGACCAAAATGACTCTTTGTGAGGTTGCAGAGAACTGAATGGCCATGTAATGAACTGTTTACATAAGATGAGAGCTTGTGGTTCTCAAGTGGAAAGATATTTCTAAACACTCCAGAAAAAAACATGAGAACCAAGGCTGATGCTGGCTCATCCATAGCAATCACTATTGTTCATTCTAGAAGTCGAAGTGAACATCAGATTACATTTTCCTTCACTTGCACTTTTTACTGTAAAGTAATTGAGGAGGAAAAAATGTGAAATGACAGACACCAGATGTTTATAGAGTGTATGCTTGCATGATCATGTTTTACAGAGTTTGTTGTCTGTCTGCGTTCCCATTTTTTTATACTTGATGTTTTCTGGAGAATAGGATTGGACAGTGTTTATATAACAAGCCTGCTTTTTTTAATTTTACCATACTCCTTTTTCTTTTTTTAAGCAGTATTGGAAATTGAATCTAGAACCTATTGCATAGTAGACAAGTGCTCCTTCACTGAGCTGTATCCCCAGACCAGAGCCCTAATTAGAAATAGCTTCATGATAGAGCATCCTGTTTTCATGATATAGCATCCTGTATTTCGTCTAGCTCTCCTGTGAAGTCTAGACAGCACTTTCTAGTGTCTTTGTTAATGAGAACTATTATGGTGTTTTGCTTTTCATTTTGTTTATTTGTCTGTAATAAAGACTTAGTATTCTTGAGACAGTTCTCTGATATTGTCTTAATATCTCCCATAGAACTGGGCCGTTTGTGCAGTGTGATTAGTAAATATTTATTAAACATGTTTATAAAAGTTGTGTGTGGTGGTACATGCCTGTTACACCTGTACCTGTGAGGTTGATGATGGAGGTTCACAAGTTTGAGGCAAGCGGCACAAGCCACACAGTAAATTATAGGTAGAATTTCATAGGAGAAAAAACCGGAAAACTTCAAATAAATACATTTATCAACATAAATATGTGTAAACCTTTGACTGTGAGGTTCTGATAGCTGATTCCGATAACAAGTTTTTTCCACGTGTTTAGTGAAGGTTTTATTATAGTTATTTTATCAGCTATTGCCAGGTAGCATAGTAAGTTTCTGTCAAGATAAAGGAAAAAAAAATACTAAGTTTGGGGAAAGATGAGAAATGTTGTATTTGTAGGCAGCAGTCTCCAACTTTCTAATTAATTTCTCTAAATTAACCAGAAGGAAATCAGAACTATTTTGAAGATAATTTAAAGCTCATTATGTAGCATTGTGTGATTGTTCTGAATAAGAAATGAAATGTTTGTTCATTATCTAGTAGTAAATTTAATCTAATTAGATAAATCGAAGATACCTGTACATACACTTAATAATCAGTGGACTTCAGGAAGACTAATGTTTTCTCTTTCTTTTTAGATTAATATGAAAGATAATAAAAATGCAAAATATGTTGAAAATCATATTTCATCAAATGACTTAAGAGCCTTTGTGTTTGAAAGTCAAGAAGATATGGAGATTTTCCTCAGAGAGGCAAGTACTAACCAGTAATACATTCTGATTGACAAGACACATTCTGATTTTCTTCTTTATGGGTTTGTAATCTCCTTGTGTATATTCTGAAAATATAACACCTTCCTTATTATCAGTATACTTACTTATGTGTTTGTTTTATTTTAGTTTGGGTTTTGTTAGGGATGGCTTTTTGTTTTGTTTTTTTGAGAGCACATTTCTTCCTCACCTAGAACTCACCATTTAGGGCAGGCTGGCAGGCCAGCAAAGTCCAAGAAGTCTGCCTGTCTCCACATCCCAACACTGGGATCACTGGACTGTGCCTCCTGTCGTCATCATGCCCCTCCCCAGCCCAATGTATGTTTTACATATCTTTTGTTAAATCTTTGCTTTATGGTTTATCTTAGCGTTTCTGTTGCTATGAAGAGACACCATGACTATGGCAGCTCCTACAAAGGCAAACATTTAATTGGGGCTGGCTTACAGTTCACAGCTCTAGTCCGTTATCGTCATTTCAGGGAGCATGGCAGCACACAGGCAGATAAGGTGCTGGAAATATAGCTGAGTGTTCTAAATCTGGATTGGCAGGCAGCAAGAAGAGAATGACATTGGGCCTGGCTTGAGCATTTGAATCCCCAAAGCCCACCCCCAGTGATAACACTTTCTCCAAAAAGTCTATACCTACTGCAGCAGGCCTTACCTTCTGATGCTACTCCCTAAGCATTCAAATATATGAGCCTATGGGCCCCCCAGTCTTTTTCAGACCAACACATGGTCTTTTGCTATTGAGAATGGATTTCAAAATTCTTTTTGAATTGTTTATACATATGATTCAGTGAGAGGATGTTATGTTTTGTTGGTTTTTTTTTTAAGTAGTTCCTGCTGTGAACTTAGACAGGCCTTGAACTTCAAAGATCCTCATACCTCAGCCTCTCTCAAGTATTGGAACTACAAGAATGCATCACTGAACCCTTCCAACTTTTGTTTCTAGTATATTTCAAAGCTAAGCTCATGAGTGATTTTATTTTAATTTTTGTTTTTAAAATATACAATATATTTTAATCATTTTAAGATTAAAACATATCTAAAGCTGATACTGTGTGTAAGAGAAAGATTGCAATACTCATTTGGGAGGATCTGGGTTATCTCAATCAGGATAATTGCTTCAAGCTCCATCCATTTGCCTTCAAGTTTCATAATTTTGAATAATAATATTTTTGAATAATAATTTTGAATAAAAGTTGAATAATATTCCATTGTATGTAAGATACCACAATTTCATTATCCATTCATCAGTTGATACACATGTTGACTATTTCAAATTTCAGGCTATTGAGAATATAGAATAACAATGAACTTTGTTGAGTAAGTATCTGTAGTAATAGATAGAGCCCTTTGGGTAGCCCAAGAGTATTTTAGCTGGATCTTGCAGTAGATCAATTTTCTGAGGAACCTTCACACTAATTTCCATAGTGGCTGTATCAATTTGCACTCCCACTAGTAATGAATTATGTGTTCCTCTTTGCCCACATCTTTGCCAGCATGTGCTGTTATATCAGTCAGGGTTAGCTAAAGATCAGAACTGGAATGAACATTTATGCATATGAAAGGGATTTATTAAAGTGGCTTATAGTCAAGTAGTTCAGTAGTACCTGTCTCCTGATGGAAAAGCCAAGAACCCAATAGTTGTTCAGTCCATCAGACTAGATGCTTCAGCAATCCCAGTGCTAAAGTCCCAGGAGATCCTTTAATGCTGCGAGCTTTCTGTCTGTTGGAATACCAAAGAAGTTGGTTTTTAACCAACTTCTAACATCAGCAAAGGAAAGGCTCAGGATATATGTACTTGCCAGTGAGAGTAAGGGCAAGCAGACAGGAAACAGAACTTCTTTCTTCTCTGTCCTTTTATATGGGCTGCCACTAAGCGGTGTGGCCCAGAGTTAGGGTGGCTCTTCTGACCTCAGATGATCCAACCAAGAAAAGTTCCTCTCAGGTATATGCAGGTGCTTGGGGTTTAGTTGCTTCCAAATATAGTCAAGTTGACAACCAAGATTAGCCATCACAGCTGTCTTTTTTTGTTTTGTTTTGTTTTGTTTTGTTTTGTTTTTTTTAAACTTGGACATTCTGGCTGGGGTAAAACAAAATAACAGAGTAATATTAATTTGCATTTCCCAGATGGCTAAGAGTGTTGAACATTTCTTTAAGGGTTTCTAGACTATTTGTCTCATCTTTTGGGAACTCTGCTTAATTTGTGGCTCTTTTTTTTTTTTTTTTTAAATTGGGTTGTTTTCTTAATGTTTCACTATCACTAGACTATTTCAACCTACCACCTCTCAGTTATCAAATAGAGACTATTATTATTTATTATAGCTCAGGCCTTAACTTATGCTATTTCCCAACTAGCTCATATAACTTAATTAACCTGTTTATTCTACTCCATGTCTGCCTCTTGGCTGATTACCTCTCCTTAGTACCAGCACTTGTTTCTTCTTCCATGTCTGGCTGGTGAAGCTCCCACTCCTGATTCTTTCCCACAGTTGCTATCTCTCCGGATTTCTTGTCTATCCTCTCCTGCTTTTCTATAGGCTATTCCATTCTTTAGTAAATGAATCAGAAGGTGATAGAGGTGTTTGCAAAACATTGAGACAGGTCATGCTTCATATAAATAACAATGCTAAAGTCATAAGTTGGACCCTTCTCTACTCTCTGTGGGTAGAGAAATCAGTATTTGAATAATACAAGGACAGCCTTTATACAGTGCACAGGGGTTATCCCAACATTTTACTTTTCATTGATTGTTGTTCTTTATATATGCTAGACACTAACCCTCTTCCATGAGAAACAAATTTTACTTTGTATAAATTTTTTATCTAGTGTTTTTATTAATTTTTTTTACTATGGCCACTAAGGTCGGCCATATGTTAATTCAGTATGGTTATTATTTTCTTGAACAAGCTTAAAATTTGTGTATGCTAAATCTAACATTTAGTGTTTGTGTTCTGATGAAGTCAGTTTCTCTTGCCTGCTTTTTCTCTTAGCTGTGGTAACATTTAATTTTTATACATAAGAATTTTTATTGTTCACTAGAATTGCAGTTCATACCCTAGCATCAGTTAACTTCTGAGAAGACTGGATAGCATAAACTTATTAGACTCAGACTTCAAACTGTTAGCAGCTGAAGTAAGCGCGTGTGTTTGTGTGATGCATGGGAAGCCAGTCAACATCTGGTGTCGTCTTCTCTCATCTACGTTAATTTCTAAAATAGAGTCTCTTACTTGACATTGAGCTTACTGACTGACTAGGCTGGCAGGATAATAAGTTCTAGGGATCATCCTGTCTCTATACCTACCTATTGCTTTGGTTATAGATAGATGCTGTGTTTCCCAGCTTTTATGTGGGTTTTAGGTTTATGAACTTATGACAGGTACTTTATAAACTGAGCCATCTCTCTACCCCTTCTGATTTAGTGTGTTCCCCCAGCCCCCAAGGCTTCTCTTGCTTTCTCATGGTTCACTGGAATATTTCCATGCATATATAGTTGAAGGACCAGCCAAAGTTGAAACAGGTTTGAGTATTCTGTGGTTCTTACTTGGCAGCATCCTGCTAAGAATTTACCCTTTCATTTACATAGCCATTCTAGCCACCCCAAATGCCACCCTCTAATTTCTTCAAGCCACAGACTACATCTTCCTACCAAAGTTTTTATTCCTGTACCTCTCCTGCTAGATTAGCGAATGCTTTCAAGTCACAAGTCACATAAACTCAGATCTTACTTAGTCCCACCAATCCGGTTTGTTTTCCCACTATTCTAAAAATGATTCTTTGAAATTTTGCCTGGAATTTATAATCATTATTTGCAGATAGGTAAACCCCATACAAGATAATCTTCTATTAATGAAAGTGTAACTCTGCCATCTATATATTTTGAAGCCAATTCTGTTTCATCTGAAAATTTAGTACATATCTCTGAAAGAAATGGACTCTTGGATGTGTATAGGGAGGGGCGCGCACCTGTAATCCCAACCCTTGAGAGGCTGAGGCAGAAGATACAAGTGTGAGGCCAGCCTGGGGTACGTGTTGAGTTCTTGTCAGAGTAAGTAAGAGCTTGTCTTGAGCAGTAAAACTAAAAGCAAAAAGCCCTTAAAGTAGAAAAGCTCACATTGAATTTAGGGTAGGTAAATGTTAAGGGGTGGGAGGAGATAATCCTTTGCTTAAATTTCTGTACACCCCAGCGATGCCAGGTGGAATATGGTGACTTTAAAAATCATTTTAATTAAACACATGGTAACTAATACTGTCTTTTTCCTGTGTTCAGGTTCGTGACAATAAGAAATTAAGAGTAAATGCTGTTATTGCTCCCAAGATTTCATATGCAGACAAAGCACCTTCAAGATCTCTGAATGAGTTAAAGTAAGTTGATAGGATTATTAGAAATAATCTCAACACTGAATAATCTTAAATGACTTTTAATTTTCTTTCACACGATATATTTGTTATAAGCTGTATTGTTGGTCTTAGGAGCTCTGCTGAAATCTAAAACTGGGAAAAGTTGAAGCTTAGGAATGTGCCAAGTAGTATTATTCATGTTTTATAAAGGTGATGTTTCAAATTAGTGGAACAGTATTGGATTGGTTAAAGAAGGAAGTCTTTTACTAAAGGTAAAAGGGATGTTAGCCATTGGAAATAGGAAGTATTAAATCATATTCTAAACTAACTAAACTAAAAATAATTTCCATAAAGGGCTAAATGTAGAGAAATGAAACTTTCTACAATTATATGTAAATATCTGGTTTCTAGATATAACTAGACATTCTTAATATAAAAATAACAAAAGGAACAGAAAAAGATAGTTCATAAAAATAGTTTGTAATTGTAAAAGGCTTAAGCTTAACAGCAAGGAAGAAAATAGCATAAGTGATTTTAAATTGTAAAAATCGTTTTCCTCTAACATTGCTAAAGTATGTGTTAGCTACCTACCTACCTTCCTTCCTTCCACCCTTCCTCCCTCCCTTCCTTCCTTCCTTTGTTTCTTCCTTTTTTTTGGGGGGGGGGGGTGTTGTTCTGAGTCAGGGTCTCACTGTGTACCTCTGTCTTGTAACTTACTATGTAGAACGTGCTGGCCTTGAACTTAAAGGAGATCCGCCTGCCTCTGCCTCCCCAGTGCTGAGATTAAAGGCGTGCTCCACCACCCAGCTTTACTTACTTTTTTATTGCTGTGAAAAAACACCATGACAAGGCAACTTGTAAAAGTTAAGAGTTTTCATAGGGCCTTGCTTACAGTCTCAGAGAATTAATAGAGCCCATGATATTGACCTATAATAGAGCCATGGAGGAGAGCATGGCACATAGCTGGCAGGCATGTCACTGGAATAATTTCTGAGTGTTTACATTGACCCACGTGCATAGGGCACAGAGAGAAACTAGGCCTGGTATGGACTTTTGAAACCTCAAAACCCACCCCAGTGACACCTCCTCCAGGATGGCAATTCCTCCTAATCCGTCCTAAACCATTCCACCAAGAGGGGACCAAGTAGTCAAACATGAGCCTGTGGGGGCCATTCTCATTCAAACCACCACACTATGTGTTTTACTTACTGCTTGTCAACAAGTTGTATGTCTGTTCACGTGTGTACATGTGTGTGGAAAACAGTCTGAGATGGTGTCATTTCTCAAACATGCATCTTCAACTTTTTTTTTTTTTTTTGGTGTGGTGATGGTGGTGTGGGGGAAGGACAAAGTCTCATACTAGCCTGGAATTTGCCAAGTAGGATAGACTTATGTTGCTTGAGGCCTTAGAGATCCATTGTCTTCGTCTGCCCATTGGGATAATCGCCAGTGCCACCTTGCCTAGAGTTTTGTATGGGTTTTGAACCCCAGTCCACTGCACCCACATTTCTTTGTTGTACTTGCAAGGCAGACATTTCATCTGCTGGGCCATCTCTTTAGCCAAGTAATCAAGTTTTTAAGGTAGTGTTTTAAAAAGAAAAACCAAATTGTTGCTTTTCTTTTCAGACAGTACGGATTCTTTTCATACTTGCGAGAGTTATTTGACGCACCTGATCCTGTGATGAGTTACCTTTGCTGCCAGTATCATATTCATGAAGTTCCTGTGGGAACTGAGAGGACCCGAGAAAGAATTGAACGGGTAAGAAAGTAAACATGTAGACACTCTGTATTTTATCAGTAGCAGTATGACCTAAAACTGTGACTATTAACTATGGTTTTATAACAGATACTAATTAATTAATTAAATTAATAAATACTTCTCTTTTTAGAGGAATTGAATAAAGTTAAAACTTAGAATGCTCAGATGCTCTTAGCTGATTCTGCCCTTGTTACAAGTAGTGGGAGAGATGGTAGAGTGCCATGAGAGTGCAGCCATTTTTGCTACTTAGTTAGCACTCTCTTCACTCTCCTCCCTTATGTTGTTTCCAAAACATTTACCTGAGATACATTAACCACATTTTAGAGATGTTGGATGGTTGTGTTAAGCCAGGCATAGTGATCTTCTAGAATTCTCCTGGTTTATTTCTTAATTCATTAGTACTTTAAAGCATATATTATGTTTTTATTAGATGTTCATGACTTCTTGCTTTACATTATAGGTAATACAAGAAACTCGATTAAAACAAATTTATACAGCAGAAGAGAAGTATGTGTTAAAAACTTCTTTCTATTCAAATAAAGTTATTTCTAGTAATACATCGCTGAAAGTAGCCCAGTTCCTCACTGTTACTGTGGATCTAGAGCAAAGAAGACACTTAGAAGAGCAGCTAAAGGTTGGTTCTCTTGATATAGTTACTAAAATGTCAACTGGGATTTTAGTACTTTAGAACTTTAAAGTTTTGTTAATAATACTGAATATCCCATAGGAAATTAATAGAAAATTGGAAGCAGTGGAATCAGGATTAGTGACCTTGCGTGATATGAACAGACATCTTGAGCTCAAAGACAATGAGCTGAGACTGAAGAAGAAGGAGTTTCTTGAAAGAAAAACCAGGAAACGACAACTGGAACAGAAAATCAGCTCCAAGCTGGGAAGGTATCTTAGAGCTTTGGGTTTTGGGTATCAATGTTGAAATTACAGTTGTGATCCAAAGGGCAAAGGGCAGACTGACGTGTTCTCTTTCCAGTCCTTTGACCCACTTAATGCCTGTGAGTATAAGTGTTGAGAATACAGTTAGAAATTGTATTGGTATAGGAAAATGGCAGTTGTAGGTTCTTTCCTAGGGTCTGTGACCTCTCTAGTTGTCAGTAATTGACTAGGCTTATAACACTAGGCATGAAACACCTTTGTAAGGTATTTAAACAGGCCTTAAGTCCAGTTAGACAGCTATTGGTTGCCACAATATAAAAGTGCTACTGGAGAATATTTTGCCGAGCTGGTAAACATGACAGCATAGACTGGGGATATTTCACAAAGCCCTACCCATAAATAAAGAGCTACAAGCAGTCAGTGGCTACTGAGTGAGGGGAATCAATTTTCTCTAGGAAAAAGCTTTCTTGTAGGTTATCTAATCTCAATGGTAAGCCCTAAATACATGTACATATGAGAAACACTAAAAGGACTCACACAGAGAGAGAGAAAAAGGAGAGAGATCATGAATTTGAAAAGGGTAGACCATACAATAGTTGGAGGCTAGTGAGGAAATGATGTGTACATAGTAGTCATACTAATTAAAAAAAAAAAAAGATTAACAGAAATGGGAAAGTTAAAAAATATTTTTTAAAGAAAACAATAAAATACATTGGGAAAATTTTTCTTTGTTTTTAAACTTTTTTAAAGCAAATATCTTCTTTCCTAGATTTTCTTTTTCAATATTTAACCTTGTTTATCATTTTCAACCCTTTAATTTTATCTTCAATCGTTGACAACCACCTAAATTTTACTGTGTGACTATGATGACTCCTTTGTTGGACCTTGTTTAAATTTTCCATATTAATGATTGCAAGAAAATGAATTTTTGTCCATTGCCAGCCCTTTATTCTTATTTCTGCCTGTTTTCACTTTGTGCTTTAGTGATAATGGCCTGGAGCAATTTTCAGACTCTCCATTCAGTGCATTCAGAATACTGTTTCAAAAGTTTTGGATGAGTTGGTTGCTTGGTTTTTGCCAGCTTGCCCCTTGTACTTCCTAGGACTGCCTTTGATAATTATTCAGAATGGTGCTTTCCTCTCCAGCAGCTCTTCCTTGTACAATACCTGCTGGAATTGTGGTTCTTACTTATTCCTGCTTCTGTCTTCTCTATCTCCTCAGAGTCACCGTGGTTTATTGGAAAGACCACAGACTTCTGTATTGGCTTACTTACCCTACCTCTTAATGTCTGTAATCCTACTTTGTTTCTTAATCCTTACAGTTATTTATATGATAATTTTAGGACTCTTATATGTCCATTTCTGGGGACGGGTAGCTTGTTTAGCTCAGGCTGGCCTCACATTTGCAATGAGGCTGAGAATGACCTTAAATTTGTGATTTTCCTGTCTCTGCCTCACAAGTGCTGGGATTATGTACCACCACTCCTGACTAGTGCTGCTGAGGGATTGAATCTAAGCCTTTGTGCTTGTTAGACAAGCACTCCATCAACTGAGCTACATTCGAACCCTTTTTTTTAATTTTATTTTTTAATATTAGTTACAGTTTATTAACTTTGTATCCCAACTGTAGCCCACTCCCTCATTCCCTCCCAATCCCACCCTCCCTCATCTCCTCCCTGCCCCTTTCCAAGTCCACAGATAGGGGAGGTCCTCCTCCCCTTCCATCTGACCTTAGCTGATCAGGTTTCTTTAGGAGTGGCTACAATGTCCTCCTCTGTGTCCTAGCAAGGCTGCGCCTCCTGGGCAGGGGGAGAGGGGTAGAAAGAACCAGCCACTGAATTCATGTCAGAAATAGTCCCTGTTCCCCTTACTAGGGTACCCACTTGGAGACTGAACTACCATGGGCAATCCATACATGGTCCTTGGTTGGAGATTCAGTCTCAGAAAAGACCCTTGTGCCCAGATATATTAGATCCTTGGGGAGTTCCTGTCCTCTCCAGGTCATACTAACTCCCCCTTCTTTCATATGATTCACTGCACTCTGCGGAAGGTTTGGTTATGAGTCTCAGCATCTGCTTTGATACACTGCTAGGTAGAGTCTTTCAGAGGCCCACTGTGGTAAGCTCCTGTCCTGTTACTTGTTTTCTCGTACTTCCAATGTCCATCCCATTTGTCTTTCTAAGAGAGGATTGATCTTCTTACCCTGAGTCCTCTTTCTTGTTAATCTTTAGGTGTACAGATTTTATTATGTTTATCCTATCTTATAGGTCTAGTACCCACTTCAAAGTGAGTATATACCGTGTGTGTCTTCCTGCTTCTGGGACACCTCACTCAGGATGATCTTTTCTACTTTCTGCCCTCTGCCTGCAAATTTCATGATTTCCTTGTTTTTAATTGCTGAGTAGTATTCCATTGTGTAAAAGTACTACAATTTCTGTATCCATTCCTCTGTTGATGGACATCTGGGTTGATTCCAGGTACTGGCTATTACGAATAAAGCTGCTATAAACATGGTTGAGCAAACGTCCTTGTTGTGTACTTGAGCATCTTTTGGATATATGCCTAGAAGTGGTTAGCTGGATCTTGAGGAAGCACCAGATTGATTTCCAAAGTGGTTGTACAAGTTTGCATTCCCACCAGCAATGGAGGAGGGTTCCCCTTTCTCCATAACCTCTCCAGCATGTGTCATTCTTTGAGTTTTTGAACTTAGCCATTCTGATGGGTGTAAGGTGAAATCTCAGAGTCGTTTTGATTTGCATCTCTCTGATGACTAAGGATGTCGAACATCTCTTTAATTGTGTCTCTGCCATTCTATATTCCTCTACAGAGAACTCTCTGTTTAGCTCCCTACTCCATTTTTTTAATTGGATTACTTGATTTGTTACTTTTTAACTTCTTTAGTTCTTTATATATTCTGGATATCAGCCCTCTGTCAGATAGAGGGTTGGTGAAGATCCTTTCCCAGGCAGTCGGCTGTCATTTTGTTCTGACAACAGTGTCTTTTGCTTTACAGAAGCTTTTTAGTTTCATGAGGTCCCATTTATTGATTGTTGATCTTAGAGCCTGTGCTGTTTGTGTTCTGTTCAGGAAGTTGTCTCCTATGCCAATGAGTTTAAGGCTCTTCCCCACTTTTTCTTGTAACAGATTTAGTGTATCTGGTTTTATGTTAAGATCTTTGATCCAGTAGGACTTCAGTTTTGTGCAGAGTGATAGATACGGATCTATTTTCATTTTTCTGCATGTAGACATCCAGTTGGACCAGCACCATTTGTTGAAGATGCTGTCTTTTTTCCATTGGATGGCTTTGGCTTCTTTGTCAAAAATCACGTATTCATAGGTGTGTGGGTTTATTTCTGGGTCTTCTGTTTTATTGATCTACCTTTTTGTTTCTATGCCAATACCATGCAGTTTTTATTACTGTTGCTCTGTAGTAGAGCTTGAGATCAGGGATGGCGATACCTCCAGATGATCTGTTGTTGTACAGGATCATTTTGGAAATTCTGGGGTTTTTGTTTCTCCATATGAAGTTGAGAAATTTTCTTTCAAGGTCTGTAAAGAATTGTATTGGTGTTTTGATGGGAATTGCATTGAATCTGTAGGTTGCTTTTGGCAGGATGGCCATTTTCACTATGTTAATCCTACCAATCCATAAGCATGGGAGATCTTTCCATCTTCTGGTATCTTCTTCAATTTCTTTCTTCAAAGACTTGAAGTATTTTTTTACAAACAGATCTTTCACTTGCTTGATTAGAGTCACACCAAGGTATTTTATGTTATTAGTGGCTATTGTGAAGGATGTTGTTTCCCTAATTTCTTTCTCGGCCCTTTTGTCTTTGGTATACAGGAGGGCTTCTGATTTTTGTGAGTTAATTTTGTATCCAGCCACTTTGCTGAAGGTGTTTATCAGCTGAAGGAGCTCTCTGGTTGAATTTTTGGGGTCGCTCATGTATACTGTAGTATATATATACATATAGTATACTATACTATAGTGACACTTTGACCTCTTTCTTTCCAATTTATATCCCCTTGATCTCCTTTAGTTGTCTTACTGCTTTAGCTAGGACTTCAAGTACTATGTTGAAGAGATATGGAGAGAGTGGGCAGCCTTGCCTTGTCCCTGACTTCAGTGGGATTGATTTAAGTTTCTCTCCATTTAGTTTGATGTAGGGTATAAGCTTGCTGTATATTGCCTTTACTGTGTTTAGGTATGTGTCTTGTATCCCTGATCTCTCCAAGACTTTAAACATGAATGTGTGTTGGATTTTATCAAATGCTTTTTCAGCATCTAAGGAGATGATCATGTGGTTTTTCGCCTTCAGTTTGTTTATATGGTGGCATTCCCAACCCTGTGTTGATTTTTTTTTTTTTTCTGTTTTTTACCTATCGATCAGCTCTTCCTGCTTAAGGATTATATTTTATGAACAATGTCAGTATCAGTTTATATTAATAAATATATTCTAGGCCAGGTATTATGCTGTGTGTGTGTTTTTCTCCCAAGTTCAGTGGGAGGAAGTTTTCTCATCTGCAATGCACAGATGAAGAAGCTAAACCTCGAAGGCGTAGCTTATCCAGTTCTGCTTCTTGATGAATAACAAAGGAGAAATTCAAGCTGTCTTTTTGGCTCCATTTTCCACATCAGAACCGTTACTGTGCTGGTCATGTTGCTGCAAGATATGTATCAATCCTGAGTGATTGCAGTTAGAGATGCTTAATCTAGGAGCTAGCTTCTGATTACCATTACTGTTTAACCCAGAAGACTGATCTCTCCATCCTTATATGTGTCTGCCATATAGTATAAGGCTGATGGAACAGGATACATGTAACCTGGAAGAGGAAGAACGAAAAGCAAGCACCAAAATCAAAGAAATAAATGTTCAGAAAGCAAAACTTGTTACTGAATTAACGGGCCTTGTAAAGGTAAGATTTTTTTTCTTAATTTTTGACTTTTTTTTTAAAAATACTTGCTAAATTTTAATTTTTTTTTGAGGACTTTATGGGAGATTATCACTTTAAAGTATTTTTCTGTTTTGGTAATATAAGCAAGAAATTTTTTTGTGATTAGTTTAGGTTTTAATGCTTACAGAGAATTTTAAAAATTAGCTCATTCAGTTATTTTCTTTCAGATGACTTAAATATATAGGAATTACTTTTTTAAAGTAGTTTTATGTGAACTGTTTGAAGATGTTAGTCACAGTAGGAAGATGTTAATTTTTCATGGTTCATAACTTCATTTTGAAAAAAACTGTTATTTTTCATAGTTGTAAGACTTAGACAACATAAAAGCCAAATGTATATGGGTTGTTTGCTCCTAGATTTGCACTTCTTTGCATATACAAAAAGTTGATTTGATTCTTCAAAATACTACTGTGATTTCTGAGAAGAACAAGTTAGAAGCAGATTACATGGCATCATCTTCACAGTTGCGTGTCACAGAGGTAAGATACTTTCCTTTGTTTTTTTATTTCAGGGTTCAACCTCAAGCCAGTTTGAAAGTATACACCAAATACTATCATTTGCAGTGTACAGTTTTATACTATACAATTTAAAACACGGGGTCAGCAAGTTAGCTCATTGGGGAAAAGCGCTTTCAACATAATGGCTATGACCAAAGTTTAACCTCCAGAACCCAAGAAAAGGTAGAAGGAGAAACCTGACTCTGCAGAGTTAGTGTGCCACACCTTTGCCCTCAGACACAATAATAATCGTTATTAATGAAATGTAACGCATTTTGTTATTGAGGAAGCAATACTTGAAGTATGTAAGGGTGGATGGGGTAATTGTGACAGTTTAACCTTACCATTAATATTTCAGTGGTGCTGAAATTGTCCAGGGGAAAGAAAGGGGAAATAACACATAAACTTAATTCTAAAGATGTAGCTTCAAGGTGATGGTGACAGTCATTTTTTATTTTTATATTCGTTTTTGTTGTTGCTTAGGTTTTTTTTTTCCTCCAGATTACTTTCTCAAAAATAGAAGAACTCTTATTATTCTAAACATCCATAAATGACCTGTATAGTAACAGACTTATCTTTAAGAAACCCCTATATATGTCTTACAGTCGTGTTTGATGTTAACCACATACAGGTAGTACCAAATTGAACAATTTATAAGGAATATCGTAGTAGACTGCTTTTTCTTACTACACTGCCTTTAAATGCAAGGATCCTGGGCCTTCTGTACTTTTGATTGTTTTCTACAAACCCTGGTTTTCTATGGCCCCTTCATGTTTAGTAATTCACTAGAACAGCTCAGAACTCTTAAACAATGCTGTTATTTCATAAGAGACATACAGAGCAAGGTCTGAGAGGGTCCTAACCAGAGTCTCTGTGCCTTTTTCATAAGGAATTGTAGTATATCATTCTCCTGATGATTCTTGGTGCTTAATAGCCAGGAAGCTCCCCCAAGCTGCAGGAGTTCCATTGAGTTTCTATTACATGAGCATGATTGCAGCATTAGTCATGTGGCTGCACCCAGTCTCCAAACCTGTCTAACTTTGGGAAGTTGTGTTCTGATGTCATTTGATTCAAAACTTTCTATCCATATGATTGGTCTTTCTGACATTGCCCACTAACATCCTGACTTCACCCCTGTTAAAATAAACTCAGGTGTGATCCAGGGAATTCTTGAGTAAAAAATAACCTTTTGGCACTCGTTTTCAAAGACTAATCCACCTGAGAGCTCCAGAATACAAGGGAACAACATAATCCAGAACTTCAAAAATAGCTTGATGTTGCCAAGAACCTCAAAACAAACTGCCAGCGGGTTTTGTTCTCTGAAGAGAGGAGTCCCCATTAACCATGGAAAGCTCAGGAAAGCCCAGTATCAAAAGAGCTGAACCTGAGAGAGACTGTCACACACTAGGCAACAGTGTAATGATACTGGCATTGTCCAGACTCAAGACTCCTTAGAAAAACAAAACTTACTGAAAAGAGAACTATTATACACGTACTGTGTGGTCGCAAGTCTAATATATACCTAAAGTCTCCAAAAAGGTAAGAAAGACAGAAATAAAATACTTATATTTGCTGATTGTTGTTTAGATATTATTATTGTTACTATATATGAGTTGATGCTTTCAGGCAGGAAAATAAGGAGTGTTTCACTATTATTCATCATGAGGAGCCAATAGATATCCTTTCTCCCAAGAAGCTGTAAGGAGGTATAAATATCATGTATTTATACAAAGATCATGATATACAAAGAAAAGGTGTGAAGAGCAGGGGCAGTGGAACTCGAATACAGTGGAATACAAATACATGAAATACTCATGTATTTGTATTGTTTACAAATACATGAGCTAAAATTACTGTTGTAAAACACAGGTGGAATTAAGGGCAAGCAGAGGCATGACTGCAGTCTCAGCACTTGGGAGGTTGAGGTAGGAGCATCATTTGAGCATAAGAGTTTGAGGGCAGCGTAGGCAACATGGGCACCGTCTCAGAGACATTGCCAGAACCAATCAGATTAAATTTAAGTGTCCATAGTGTCTCTGCTAAATTTTTTTAAGTAAATTCTAACACCTACAGAATATGAAACATTCACATAAGAGAAAGACGTTTTAGAAAGATCAAACATATTGTGGCTTATCTTTGTTTATTCATTGATTGCAGTTTATTCCTTTTGTATCCCAGCTATAGTCCCCTCCCTCATCTCCTTCCAGTCCTCTGAGAGAGGAGGTCCTTCTCTTCTATCTGACCCTAGTCTATCCCGTGTCTCCTTGGAGCTGGCTGCATCTTCTTCCTCTGTGGCCTGGCAAGGCTTTGCTCCCCAGGGAGAGGTGATCAAAGAGCATTGGGCTTACACTGTTTACAGCTCTGTAGATTTACTAACAATTATTCACTTACACAGTTGAGTTTATGATCATAAGCTAATTATGTAAATTCAGGAAATCTGTTAAATGAATGGGGAAGTCTTTATCTTATTAGGAAGTTACTGGCATCCTATATATGTTACTAACTGAAAAATACAAGGGGCAATGGACATAGTGCTTCTACTTTGCAGGAAAGAGTCAGGAGTGTGGTAAAGTCCCATGGGGACAAGCCAGCACTGTTCTATTTATTCGCAGGGTAGGAGATGAGCTTAATTGTTTCAGTTAGGGGGATTGAGAGATGGCTCAGAGGATAAGAGTACTAGCTGTTTTTCTAAGGGTCCTGAGTTCAAGTCCCAGCAACTGCATGGTGGCTCATAGCCATCTATAATGAGATCTGGTGTCCTCTCCTGGTATGTAGGCACTTGTGCAAGCAGAATACTATATAGTAAATAAATCTTTTAAAAAATTAATTTTAGTTGTTAGGGTTTTTTTCCTACTTTGGAATAATCTACAGACAAAATTAATTTTTTTCTAAGACAAAAGCAAAATTAAATAAATATAATTACAAAAAAATTATTCTAAACACAAAAAGAATTCCAAAGAGAATCTTAACTTGTTTTATGTAATTAAGCTGTTAATATCTGTGATGTTCTTCTTGTAAAAGTGAGAAATAAATGATGCCATTAGGAGTTTTGGCCTAAAAGAAAACAGCTTCAATATAAAATTAAAATGATAATTAATAAAAACTTTGAAATTTTTGAATTGGAAATAACCAGAATAACTTCACCATATATTTTCTATAAAGGGGGTTGGGGGTTGGGGGTGTACAGACAAGCCCAGCATATTTGTACATGCCTTTAGTGCCCACACTCAGCAGTCTGGGCCAAGAGGGTAAGTTTGAGGACACCTGTACTACCATATAGTTGAAAGAAAGAAAAAAAAATCATACACCCCTCCCCCCCAAAGCAAACCAAACATTTCCTTATTCCATATGCATGGTTTCTAAGTACTGTTTTGTATTAAAATGGCTTATTGGAGAAAATAGTTAATTCCAAATCTAGAAAATGAAATGATTGTGTAAATAATATGATTAATGATTTTATCGTGCATGAAAGCAAAAACACACAATCTCAGATTGGTCTATGAACCTAAATGAAGACTCTTTAAGTGGCCAAAGATTATGGGGGAGGAAGTTGAACATATCAGAATGTCTAAATTGGCAAATTTAAAATGATTCTCTAAAAAATCATATTTAGAAAACAGATGATTATTTTGAATAATTCTAGAGAATTGATCATTCATCCTCATTTTGTTTTAAATTGTGGGGTTGGAGTGAATGTCTTGCTATTTTTTTTCTTGACTGGCCTTAAACTCACTATGTAGACCAGGCTGTTCTCGAACTCATAGAGACTAACCTGGCTGTGTCTCCCACTTGGTGTGATTAAAGGGGCTCCCATTATTATTTGTGTATGTTCATATATCTCTTGACTATAAAAGGGTGTTGGCTCCCTAGGAGTAGAGTTACAGATTTGTGATCTTCTGCCAGAGCAGTAGATGCTCTTAACTGCTGAGTCCTCTCTCCAGCCCCATCATTGTACATTTCTTATGTAAATTGCTGATTATCAAGGATATAGAAATAAATAGGATCTTTATAGAAATATTTTAGCTGATAAATGAAGAGATTATAGTATTAGAGATGTGTGTCCTGATGACATGTTACCACTTACAGAATGACTCTGGGAAATAATTACATTTCTATCTGTATAAGCCAATGTCTAGAAGAGGGTATTGTGATCTAAGAACTATTGGCATTTTGAATTGGATAATCCTTTCTGTAAGAGACTTACCCTGTGTCTTAGCAGCATGACTGACAGGTCTACCTAACACTAACGTGCGAGCGTGTGCGCGCACACACAACACTAGTAATGGCAATCAAAATTTCTAAAGAAATTGCTACATACATCCTAGGGAGCAATACTATCAGTAATACAGAACCTCCAGTTTACATTTGTTGATTCATTTATTGATTGAGGCAGGGTCTCATTGTGTGGGCAAGGCTGACCTCAGACTTATACAACATGCTGGGATCAACCGGATACATCACCAACTCTGGCAAGAAATGGGTTTTGTAGATGGCTCAGTAGGTAAGGTGCTTGATGTGCAAGCATGAAAATCTGAGTTCATATCCTCAGCACCCATGTGAAATGTGAAGCACAGCAACATGTCTGTAACCCCAGTGCTGAGTGACAGGTGGACCACTGAATAAACACTGTTGCAGTTTAAAGGATCCCTTACCTGAAGAAGTTTCCCATTTCTGATTCAGATTTTGGAGATTCAGATTTTGGATGGGATCAAAAGCAAAACACTAGCGTTATGTTTCATGTACACATCAAACACATAACCCAAGGATAAGTTGTTACTTGTCTGCTGCAACTGTGTTTTAACTTTGGCTTACCATGGATGAAATAAGGAATTTTCCACTTGTGGTATTATGACTGTTCCTGATTAAGAACTCGGATTTTCAGATAGGGATGCTTCAGCAGTATAATATAGTATAACCAGATTTCATTATTTAAGCATAGATAGGTTGATAGTTAATTTTGTGTATTGAAAAGTCAGTATAGG